ATATGGCACCTTATAAAGGATCAGATATCTTGTACCATTTTCAAGGGTTTCATGACGATAGAATAGGTTGTCGTCGTTTTCGAAATGCTCGTGAGCGGTTTAACTACAAACACTCATCCTGCAAGAATGTAATCAAACGCTCGTTTGGTGTTTGGAAGGAAAGATGGCAAATCCTGGATCGAATGCCCAGCTATTCGTTTCGCACTCAGACTGTCGTTGTTGTTAGACAATGGGTTTTATAATTTTCTACATCATTCTGGAGTCGTGGATGCGGCGTTCACTATAGCTGAAACGGATGAGGATGCGTTCGAGGTGGAGCTACCAACCACTGAAAATGAAATGCATGCGGAAATTAACGCTCCGAAAATGCATCGAAGTGAGTGGGACATGTTTCGCAATTATATGGCATGGCAACAATGAAATGGTTTCATTGTTCTTTTTTTCATTCTGTTGTGTGAAAATCAAGTGCACCATTACGTCAAAACATCATCATGGTTTTAATGAAAATAAAGTCCGACCATTAATTTGTAATCCACGAATATTTTTTAATGGGGGTTTTTTTTTTCTGTTCATTAACGAATTTTTTTCCTCATATTGGATGACATTGTAGACATAATGAGTACAAAAATTATCACTTTTATTGGCAATTTCTATGAAAAATAACATCAAACGAATTATATTAGGTGATAAAAATTTATTCTCACGTCAACTTTTTATTCCTTGCACACGTTCCAGCCCTATTGTTTAATGGAAAGGAAGTGGTTTTTAATTCAATCAACAAGGAGGGCAAAATCGGAAAGTATGGATAATATTTCAATGCCCTGACATGACATGGTTGTCCTTTACTGTTCATGAGTTGATAGAATTAATTCATTATTTCTCAATAGTGCCTACCGAACGGGGTTTAAATAACATATAAATTATGAAATTGTTGAATCTTAAAATATTTTTTTTCCATATATAAAAAATACAACCTAAATTAAATTTGACAAGTCATTGTTTTTGCCTTTGTACGTAACTTGTGACAAGAATTAACTAGTATCAAATCACAACCAAACCTAATCAAGTTACAAAAAAGGGGAGCACTTATGTTGTCATGGTAATAAATATTTTGAAATCAATCATATCGAGTTCATGTTAGTTCTCACAATTCTTGCCGAATATAATTTTGATCGTCTAAACACGATGACTATCATTAGTTTGTCTGGTGCACACATTTCCTATTTTGTTTTGCTTCCACTGTAAATATTAACACATAATGAAATATATAAATACAAAACATATGTAGGAAATCGAGATTCAAGAAAATTTTCACGAGGGTAAACAAAAATTTATCCAATTTGATTATGAAAAATCAGCAAAAAAACTTTTCCCCATTACAGAACACTTGTAATTAGAATCCTTCTAATCTATGTGGAACTAGAGTACAGATCACTTGCAGTGTTTGCACCACTTCTGCCATGGATGGCCAACTAGAAGGTACCTGAGAAGTGCAAACCAATGCCAATTTAAGAACATGCAAAACCTCGTCTTCCGGGTAATTTCCCATGTTTGGATCCACACAATCTAGTGTATTTCCCTGTTCAAGCAATGCCCTCACATGATCGGCTAGAATCTGACACAGCTCAAACGTGACTTTCAAGCTTTCAACAAAGTTCAGTTGTTTGTTGAGAGAATGCACGAGTGCACAACTAGAAACAGGGTTACGTCCGAATAACCTGGGAAAAGAAGCTAACAATCAGGGACTTGGAGAATCTTATCAGTTTATTCAAAATATTGGCAAGATATATAGATATAAATTTGGATTGAAAAAAATAAAATAACATCAATTTGGAAATCGGACACAAAGCTCAGTTCTTTTCTGAGCTATCAACTAAGTGAGCTATCAACTTTTGATCTGGAAGAAATACAGCTACCAATATATCTCAACTTAATCCAACACCCAGTCTCCACCTCAACATCACCATTCTTCTTCTTTCTCCCCTTTGATTCCCCCACCTCCCAAGACCCCACCTCCAAGCTATCACCGCTATCTTGAACAAAATTAGTCATAGATCTTGGAGATTATTTCGTAAATAATATTTGGAATTGAAATATTGCAGAAGAAGTAGAAATGGTTATCATTGAATGCGAGCTCACAATCTAGTGATCTGTGTAAAATTAGTCTCAGTTCATAGATATGTTTAAATAACTGAATATTTTGTAGAAGTACTAATAACTAAAATTTGCTGGACTTTACGAAACTTCTAATAAAGTTATTATTGGGAAGACATCTATAACATCACATTGTGTGTTCTGTAATACAAACCACCTGATTGATCACAGAATTTGGTATATGAATAATTTGGAGACAGATACTAAATAGTACGAGCTTATGGCCTTTAACGAGAGCCATCAAATTTCAAGCCTTATTCATTTTCCACACGAGTAATTTTGCAAATTGTTTGGTATGCTTGAACCTAGACAAGAAGGTCTTACTGTGCATGATATTTTCTTTGGAATTTCAATACAATAGCGACGAACAAGGCGGAATCCAATAGGTCAAGGATACAAAAGAATTCCAATGACAGACTTTGTTAGGAATTATGATTCTCATCTTAACCATAATATGCCTTTGATTCTATATAATATTTTTATAAGATGACTCGAATTGATTCAAGTCTATCACGTGCAAAGTTTCCAAATTAGACCCTCAGTTTCTAAAGAAAGAGCTAAAACGGTGAGAAAATAATCTGACAGGAACCCCATATGATCCCAAGAGGAAAAATGAAGTTAAGAAAATAGACAATTACTAAAAGAACTGTACATAAACATAAAACCCAATTCTCAGATTTATAGAAAACACATATATTGAGTACATCAAATAACCAGCGTGCAAAGAAATTCCAACTCCAACGTACGAGATTATGCAGGAGCGAGCTTACGACTTGCTAGATTCAATATTCAAACAAGAACTACCCAAACAAGATTAGTGTTATTCAAGGCATATACATAATACATACAACTCTAAACAAAAGTTTAACAGATATTCAGAGAGAAAGATAGACCTTAGAAAGAAGGGGGTAAGGTTGCAAGACAGTCAAATTTTTTTTCACAATATCAGTCATAGAAGGAAGACTTTCCAGCTGCAAACCAATCAAATCATTAATCACTATTCAGACAACAACATTATTCGACTCCTATTAATCAAAATAGAAAATCGAAAAGCATTTTCCCCATACCGCGAATCAAATAAATATAAATTGCAGGTGACGCATGGTGGTACTGGACAAAATTGCAGGTGACCCATGGTGGTATTGGATGCGCTTGATTGAGGGGAGTGGAGTTGTGGTGGTCTGCGATCGAAACGGTGGCCGACGGCGGTGGAAATATGGCGAAAATCATGACTGGTAGCTTGGCTTTGGGTGGTGATTGAGGCTGTTTTAGGCAACTTCGTGGCCAAGTGATGACAAAAGGTTGAAGATGAAGGTGAGGGGGTTCGAATGGTAGTGGGGTCTGGTGTTCTCAGTGATCGATGGTGGTTGATTGTCGAGGAAGAAGGCGGCGGTTGCGGTTCTTCTAGCTCTCTAATAAGAAAGGGGGCGTTTTCCGTTTAGAATTTTGCTTTGTTTCTCTTGAAAACACACAAAACGTCTATTTTGACATTTTGAGTTTTCAGGCAAATTTGTTTTGTTTTCAAAAAATCATTTTTGAAAACGAGAACGCGTTTTCAGTGTTTTGAAAAATCGAAAACAAAAAACGACCCCAAAACAGCAAAGAGAACGGAGCCTTATTTTTCCTCACTCATTTTCAATCACACGTTTTTTCAATAAAAATATTTTTTACGTAAACCCAAAAACTTTTTGAACATTGCTACATTTACACACTTTAGTACACAATCTCCTACACAACCTTCTCACATGTGTCTAGGTCCCACAATGCGGGGCCCATTGTGGATCCCACACATATGTGAGAGGATTGTGTAGGAAATTGTGTACCAAGTGTGTACAAGTAGCATTTTTGAAACTTTTTCACCACACTCTTCAAAAATCACTATTACAAATAGAGATTGTGCAGTGTTGGTGCAAATTTTGTCAACACTTAAAACTCTAACGACCCTCTCTTCATTAACAGTACAAAGTGTTATTTACTTCTATCACCTAGTTACTTGCAAAAGGTTGTGTCTAGCTCCGCATTTGACCTATGGAATAAAAAGTTAGTGTATGGAGCGAAGAGATAATGTTGACGAGAAAAGGCAAAAATACAGTAGTAAAAAATTTGGTTAAAAAAAATTAAAGAAAGGCATTAACCATACTTGACACTGTTGGTGAATATTTAAGGCAGTCAATTGTCATCTTCAACGAGCTGCCAAAAACCGGTGCACGATTGCAATTTATTGTGTATGCTAAGCATAGTGAAGAGTGTAACCGATTTTCAGTTGTTGAGTGGTCTGGATCATGTCAATCACTATTCATCTCCGAACATGTTGTGGTCAACCAACCTTTGGCTGTGTGCTCGATCGACCTCTTGTTGAGTAGGCCAGTCGATGGCCTCGGTGCTCTATCTTTGTTGGTTCATGCAGTTTAGCTCCAATTTGGTAATATAAACCGGAATCACAACTAACAGCCAGAATTTCCAACATGAACCACAAAAGAGCCATTTTCAAGTAATAAAAGATATAATATAATATTATTTAAAAAAAAAAATCAAACTAAATGCGAGACCAGTAAGGGAACTTGCAGGGGCACAACATTACCTAGATGTCTAACTATGAGGGAATACACAAAAGAGCTGGTTCACATAAAGCATTCAAACTTGCTCAGAGCTTCTCTTCTTGAAACTTTCTCAAGGCATTCAGAATTCGTGCAGAGTTTGTGCAGTGTTTGTGCAAAATGAGATCCAGTTTGGGGCGTGTGCGCGAGATTTTTCCTCCACAAAATGCGCACACACTGTGTCTTTATACTACATAATTCAGTGCATATTAGCAAAAATTAGCTATTCTCATAACTTTTTGAGTTAAACTATTGTATTGTGTCCTTGTTCCCCGAGTCTTTGCTAGGTGGTTGGCAACTGATGCCACTGCAACTGGGAAAGCTCATATTTCCCAGGGTCGGGAATGGTGGATTTACAGGCCACTGTTGGACTGGTACATTTTGCTTAGATGGTTCGGAATTGCTTGGTCCATCAACTGCTGGTGAATCACCCTGAAATGTCGAAGCATACTCAACTGGTATTGCCCCTGTAAGAGTCTGGACTGCAAATTCTAGACATGGATCTGACCAAAAATTTCCAAATGGAAAATCAACTTGCGAATCTTGTGATTTTGTATTATGCTCTACTTTTTGACCAGTTGCTTCCCGACTCGTTTGCACATTCGGAATAGTCAGGTTCTCTGCAAGCGATTTTTCATCGTTACAAATGCCTGAAATTATATCACATTCGTCAAACAAGAACATAAGAAGGAGCTTCTATGAACACATAAATAAACCTGATGGATCTATTTGAACTGTGATTGAAGACTCTCTCTCTAGAACTGGTTCCTTGCCTATATAGGGGTGATTTGCAACCTCTTGTGCTGGTTCAGTATCAGGTTCCTGAGCAAATTTATTTGCTCCATCTACTTTTCGTGCACTTGCCTCCTGATTCTTTTGCATGTTTGGAATAGCCAAGTTCTGTGCAAGTGGCTTTTCGTCATTGTTCGGGGGATCAATCTCCGGGACAAGTTCCTTGCCTATAGATGCACTATATGTGACCTCTCGTGCCGGCTCAGTTTCAGGGTGCCAAGGAAATTCATTTGCTGCAGCATTTTCATGTGCAGACTTCTTAGTAGTAGCCTGAAGAGCTTGTGTGCTTAAACCCAAATTGGGCAGAGACTCGGGTACACAACCCGCAGGTCTTTTTGAAGTACGACGAGGCAAACTTGGAGTCCCTCTTTTCTTGGACTTTCTCGAGTCCAGAGCTTTGTGAATTTGTTCTTCTGTCACACTTCCAGGAAACTTCTGCTCATTCAAGCTATCGCCCCCAAGGAAGGAAACAGCTATTTTATCATCTGTAACTTGAATTTCAGTATCAATATCTTCAAATGTCTTCTCAATGTCAGCATTCTTTTCAACAAAGTTATCTGCAATTCATACATATTTTTACACTCTCTGCTTCAAGAGAATCAAGAATGGCCTAATTTGACATATAGGTTAAGAACTCTAGTTGACACTGAACTCTTGGCAAAATTTCGTGTTGGTCACTGACACTCATTTAGTTCCATGCTGGTTGATAAACTTAAAAACCTTTTCTTTCAAGTTGGTCACTGAACTAAAATAAAATAAGGTTTCGCAATCAATATGAAATGTCACTAAAAGTTTTAGTTACCACTCGTCTATTTAACCATTCAAAACAACTATTACCTTGGTTTAAGCTCTCAGGCTCAGGTGTCGCTGAGCTGTTTCTATCACAGCTTCCTTTACCTACAAAATACAGGTCATATTTTAGAAAGAAGGAAAATAGTATGCGTATAATAGACAATTCAACAAAATAATATATAGCATCTTTTGATTCCCAACCAAGGAAAAGCCGTCTACTGGTTTCAGGCTGCTCTGATAGAGTCTCGCCAACTTCAGATAAAGACTATAGACCAAAAAGATGCAACATTAGAGAACTTGAATATTCAAATATAAAAATGGGAATCACATAACGAAGCGGATGATGATTTAAGATTTAACATGGACACATGAGCAAATATATATTGTTTTTCATGCAAAGATGAAAATAAAGCTCATGGTTTTGTTGGAAACATTATTAAGAACAAATGTGAAGTACTGAAAGTATAATGTAAGGATTCAGTGAGCCATGATAAATTTTGCAAATATGACAGCCATCTACTTCATGAATGACATAAACTAAAAGGAACAAAATGCAGCAGAATAAAAAAGAACATCCATTCATTGTATCCATACATCCTAGAATACTTTGTCAAAACCTAAGAGCTATGCACCAAAAAGCAAAAACCTTGAAATTAATTTTCTCTATATCATCTATTTTTCCAAACTGTCCCAACAATAACTTAAATTTAACATATTAACTGCATCTTCTATCATCAGATACCAATCTCTCAAGGGAAGTTTACAATATACCAAGGAGCTTAGGAGAGTTTTTGTCAGGCAGGTCGTTTTTGGTGCAATTTAGCAATATGGTAACCACTTGTAAAAAGTAATCCCCAGAATTTTAGAAAATGACCTTACATCCAAATTTCCATCATTAGTATTCTCAAGCCACCATGTCCTTCAGAGTGTTCTGTTGGTGTTTGCTAGCAAGCATACAATCACGTGCCTATGTGCATTTTGCGTGCTTCGTGCCCTATGTGCATTTTATGTGCTTGTACACAATCAAGTACACAATCAAGATACAGGTACGGTGTCACTGGGCCTCAATCCCAAAAAGATGTGATTAAGTACTTAGGTATATAATGATGTAACAAGTATGCATGAAATATAGCCCTATTTGACACACATTCTTTCAAAACTCATTTTTAACCACATTCTTAAATAAAATAATATTTTCCATCACATCAATAACTTTTCCTTACTTTTTAACCACATATTTCCCATTATATCACTATTTAAAATACATTTTTTCCTCAATAATATCAATCAAACATACCCATAATGTTTTTCTTATATACCCACACGATTACATAGTTATTTTAATAACTTTAGAGGATTATTCTAGGAAATACTTTTAACACTACTCTCACTAAGAAACTGAATGCATCAATTTAATACTCTCAGTCTAACATGTCTTGTATTCAAACATAAACATTGACCTTGCATAAAGTTCCACAATTCAGCTAATAGAAATACACCATCAATCCTTAGGATGAAGATACGCCTCGTATAAATCATAAGATGCATTCAAATCCAAATAAACTCGCTGAAGAGTAAATGATCAAACGTAATGTGAAACAACTTAAGTTTAACCCAGCAAGGAAAATACGGATAAAATGCATTGCCAAAAACGTAAATGCTTACTTTAATTTTTTTGGTTGTGTTTCCAGTGTGCTTGACGGTTTCGAGATATTTAGTCACTGTTGGCTTCGTATAGAACTTCCTTCCTGTTGAAGGCTCAATATATACCTGCAATTGTGACAAAGTACAATATCATTAGAACTTCGACAGTCGTGTAAATCTAACTAAAAATGGACATTAATTTCCATCGATTGGTGAAAGATTTAGAGATACACGAGATCCTATTTAGTAAAGAAGAAGCTTCAATGTTAGAAATGACAGCTTGTCATTTATGGAACATGTCATTGGCTTTCTAAATTCCATATCCGGTGAGTGAATAACTAAGTCGGTTGCAAATCAATGTCTAAAAAATAATATTAAGCTTTATAAAAATGTGCCTTTGTATTAAGGATGTCCAAAAGTCCCGAACCGAACACGAACCAAACCGAGCTATTCTTCATAAATTAAATACCCGAACGAGTACACGAATCAAGAACCGATGGGTTTGGGTCGAGTCTCGGGTCTAGACTAAGAATCGAACCGAAACTAAATAATTTTTTTATTTTTTATATTGAATTAATTAAATTATTTTATTTTTTTAATACAAATTAGCAAATTAATTAAATAAATCAGATTATTTCATAATTTTAATTTTAAAGCCCAAATCATTTTTAAAGCTCATTAGCCCATTTTAATTTGAAGCAAATGAATATACTTTATGTAGTGTTGTTGTAATATTAATATCTACTTTTTGGTATTTGTATGCATTGAATTAATCTTATTGAACGGCTAGTTATTTATATGTTTTTGAATTGGGCTACGTTAATTTGTAAAAGTTACGAATGAAATGTCATTAGTTGTATTCATGTAGTGTTGCTGTAAATATTAAAAAATTTGATTATAGTACGGAACCGAACGGAACCGAACCGAACCGAACCGAACCGAACGGAACCGAACCCGAACGGTTCCATAATTATATTTGGACCCAACGGGTCCATTTATTAAATACCCGAAAGTTTTGGGTCGGTTCGGGTCTTTTCAGAACTGAACCGACCCACGGACAGCCCTACTTTGTATGCCCATTATATCATGATATCTGCAAACTTCATGGTATTTGTTTCAGAAACCATTAATGTTTTTCATGCTGTGAAATTATTGCACACAATGATGAAGTACTACAGAAACTACTTCATCTGTTTTCAATATCTTGGTCTGATTGGCACAATATCTTGTGTCAATACTGGACACTAACAAATTTCTAACTTTACCGTCGACAACCTATTTCACTCACCCCAATTCACTACTACTTAGTACCTACTATGTAAACACTGTCATGGACCATGATCATTACCCAATCCCCCCATTGGAGACAAAATTTGTACAAATAAATGTGTCCTCTTTTAAGAGCTTAATCTTTTAGATGATTTAAAGTTACATTTAGTTAATTTTTTGTTGCAAATAAGTTTGAATATGTTAATTTTCTTATAAATAAAGTTACTTAGCCCATGTTTGGTGGCCTTTTTTTCAAAAACATTGTTTTGAATAGTAAATTTTTGGAGAATTTGTGGTTAAAAAGTAAAGAAAAGTTTTAGATTCATGTGTAGAATATTTTGTGTGAATGTGTGATTGAAAATAAGTACGTAGAAAAAAGAGTTTGAAAGAATGAGAGACAAACATTGATTTATATTGACATTAAGATATGGGTTACTTCCAAAATAAGTAACTTACTTTTTTTCAACTTTCACCAATCAAACTTGTTCCAAAACTTCAGCCATTAATCCTAGATTTAAGTTCCTAATATAGAACACTACCACTGTCACCCTTCTTCAGTCCCAAAACAACCAAAAATACATCCACCATCAATCCTGGACAACCACATCTAGTATCACTTGAGCACCACTTACACGTAAATAACCTCCAAAAACCCCTAAGAGAGAAGAAAATTACAGCACAAGCCTCATCCTTCTAGACCTTGATTTTAGTTCCACTACTACTCCCAAGTTCAAACAATTAATTCCAATGAAATATAAGATCCTTAGCAAAAAGAATTCACTTAACAAGATAAACTAACAAATATGATGATGCCGCAGTTTAACAACCTAAATGAAAAGAATAAATGAATAGACACTGATCATTGAGATGGAGGGTGACAATGAGCTGCGGAGATGGTGCCAATGCTCGTCCGGTGCCTCTTTGATGACACACAAGGGTACAATTGACTGAGCCTAAGATTTGTAAAATCTTGATGCCGGTTGGTTCGATTAGGGTTGTTTTTGGTGTATTTGCTTCGATCTGTATTTGTGTATCGGTATTAATATTATGGAAATTCCCAAAAGGAGATAATTAAGGATAATCATTCCAAATGAAGAAAGAATTTGTTCAACCACTTTCACCAGATATGAACTTTATATCAATAACTTCTAACAAAGTACCAAAAAAGGTATGTAGAAGGAAAATAGTTTTTGAAAGAATTCATCGACCTTATTGGCCGACTGCCAAAAACAGAATGAAGTTTTCAATCCAATAAACAATCCATAGAACTTTCATACTTGAGTAGACAGTATTGATCTGAGAAAAATTATAGTATTTGCCCTTGTGTTTTTGTACCGGCACACTTGCGAGCATTCCTGAATTAAAATCTAATATAATCATCACGATTTGCATTGAAGCTTTGGAAAATCATCCTAATTTACAAAAAAAATGAAATGATGATGATCTCTCAATCTTCTAGTTTGATTTTCTATTCTTCGTTTCTAGAAAGGGTAATCAGTCAGCATGCAGCTATTGTAACATCTTATAAAGTACAAAACTAGCTTGCAAGCAAAGATGCAACTGGCAAGAAACCCCAACGGTAGATTAAGGAAAAATTACTACTTTTATGCATTGCATACCATGTAAGTCTTCCCCATTAACGAACCACTCTTTCGAGTTCTTTCCTCCGTTATCCAACCAGGAGGTAACCATTCAGGAGAATCGGTTGTTTTAGGTTCAATCTGATTTGGTAGTCCGATTAGTGCAATTAGACAAAAGAGGATACAGTGAAGCACAATTACAAGATTGTTTAGCATTCAGACTTACAGAACCAGTATTGTCGTCAGAGAGCTTATTGTCTTCGATACTTGTTGCTTGTGGCGTATCATGGCAGACATTTTCCCTTTCAGCACAATGAAGGACATCCCTCTTAGAGTAATACTTTGTACCTGTTGCCGAGTTGTAGTAAAACTGCAGAGTCAGACACGACATAACCAATGTCACTTTCCCTTGAGCAAATATATTATATGTATGAAAAAAAGGAAAAGAGGTAAAAACCAGTAATGTCTACACGCTTTGTGTTCCAATAAGTTCTATAAAATACTGATATAAATATATTGTATAAATTTCATACAATGTGCTGCAAAAGTCACACCCTCCACCGTTCGTGAAATTTCAAGTGGATGCAAGAAGTCTGAATCTAAAACGTGTTGTGTCTAATGCTGTGGAATCAAGCTGAAAAGGAAAAGAGAGTTTGTAAAGATTCATCTATATATACGACAAAACAGATGGGTGTTCCTTGTATCCCACAACTGCTGCTAGGCCAAGAACCCTTGCCATATTTATAAGGCCACACAGCTGTCCAGATCTTTTATTCTTACACGAACTATGAGTTCAATGTTTCAATAGCCACCGAACTTTATGCTATGTCATGATTTACTCACCGAACTTTCTTAAGCCTCCCATTAGCCATTGAACTTTGCTCCGTCGCACTCCGTTACTCACCGGATGGATGCCATTTAATTTGATGCCTATGTGGATGACAGAAATATGAGGTGGTCTGTTAAATCATTCCAGCAGTGAAGTTCTGGGCCATGTCATCAATTGAAACACAACTTCCAATCAATCTATTGTATTTCCAACGACTTAGAAATCCCAGAAAGCACCACAACCCCCTAACCCCCAAATGGATTGATTCAGCAAGAACAATAGGAAGCCCAACTCTGATCAGGAAGAAATTGAATGCATTTGTTTGTCGGTGCAAGCTACCTTTTCTTTTGCAATTCCGCTGCGGTAGTCCCAAGTTTGAGACTCCATTTCCTCAGCTCATATAGCGTCCGAAGCACAGGCAACTTGAAACTCACTAAGTAAGGTTTGAAGCCAAATACGCTTCAAAGGAAGTGGATTAAAGGTAAATTTAATCCATTTCAATTACCAAATTTTTTGTTTTAACATTAATTTTACCATGTAAAGGGTTGTATGCATTTCCTTCTTTTTTATTTTTTTATAATTAACTTGAATCCATCATTTTTTATAATGAAGAATTATATTGGGGGTTAGTTTTGTATTTGTCAATTCAGGGGTTGGAAACTTTTGCAGTCACTAATGATTCGTTTTCTGATTTCCACTTTCCATTGATAAAATTCAAGAACAAAAGGACTTCACTGCTGGAGGGATTTAACAGACCATCTCATATTTCTGTCATCCATATAGGCATCAAATTAAATGGCATCCATCCGGTGAGTAATGGAGTGCGACAGAACAAAGTTTAGTGGCTAATGGGATGCTTAAGAAAGTTCGGTGAGTAAATCGTGACATAGTACGAAGTTCGGTGGCTATTGGAACATTTAACTCCACGAACTATACACAAGGAATATCGGATGTGGTGCACTACTATTCGTAGAGGTGTCAAGACGGATGAACTGGCCGACCCGTGAAAATGGGCCCGGTCAACTAGGGACCGCGGGCCGACCAAGGACCCGAATGGGCGGTTCATGGGTTAAGGAGGTATGACCCGCGGGTTTCGCGGGTTGCACCTTCACTGGCCGCGGTTAACCCGCTGGCCCGTGAAAAAAAAA